ACACGAGAAAGGGAATACCAGCCTCAGGCTTGACAGCGAAAGCAAATGGAAACGAACGCTAGGCAGGACCAGCTAGAGAGAGAGGTCAATTCTGCACCTCGTCACCTCCATGTTTCAGGCACATCAGTACAAAGGGCCTCTTTCCTTTCACCCGTGACCACCCCCGGGGAACGTTTCCTACAAGCGGCACCTCGCCACTGAGTGACTGCGCCTTGTGTCCATAGATCATGTCCAAACAGGCCAGAGGCCTGCTGCAACACCTGCATCGTGATGTAGCAACAGGCAACAAGAAGCTTTGAGACACGGGCACCCTGCTGAATGCAGAGCGAGGGTCTGCAAACACCTGCGTTCAAGTACGACTGACGCCCAGCCTGGCAGACGTGTTGCAGGTAAGCGCTTCCCCGCTGCTTGAGGTTTCTCAGAAATAAAGCATTAAGCCACAATCCCTTAATGGCAGGTTTATCTTGTGACCACCTTCTAGGGTTGGTTATGGCTAATAATAGCAGCAAAATAAAAACAGACTGACTGACACTGCAGTCAAACACAGAGCATAAATTATCCAGCAGTTAGAACAAGTTCACACCAGGGCTCCTGAGTCCTAGTCCCACCTCTGCCACCAATTTATTGTGCGACCCCGAGTCACATCACTTCCCCGCACCAATATTTCCTCCTTCTGCAAGATGGACAGAACAATGCTGGGCGTTGGTGAAGCGCCACCGTGCCAGCACACGCTCACACTGCTGGTTCGCCGTACCAGGAGTTGTATCTGGAATCAAAGAGGGCCAAGTTTTCAGCTCAGGAGCCGAGGCCCAACCCTCACAGGATCAGCAGCAGTCATGGGTGATGCTGCCTGCCAACCTGCTGAGCTTCCAAACACCGGTCATTAGGGTCCAAACCAACCTCTGCGGAAGTCAAGGGACATTCCCAGACTTCCTTAGGGTTATATCAGGCCTGCAGCCAACGGAACGGCCTGACACTAGCTTATTCACTTTATATTTTTGCATAGGTGGTTTCCTGCTGGGTTGAGGTTCTCTCGCCAGGCTCTTTTCCAGCTAAGGGTCACTTTGTCACCAGACTGACTGGCAGGCAGCGCGGGATGGCTCAGAGCGGCCCGAGCTTTTGCAGGTGACAATCAACCGTCAGACTGTCAGGATGGACGCTAGCACAGAGTCCACTCCTAGCAGCATAGCTGCTTGTGGCCTGTGAAAGCTGCCCTGCCCGACCTCAGGACAGCACAGCCAAGCACCTCTGCAATATCTGACTGGCGGAGACTCTATTCAGGGGCACAATGCTGAAAAATTAACTCCCTCAAAACAATCGTCTGCTCTGAGCCTTCCCTTCGCTGTCGGCACGCAGAAGTGTTAAAACGGGGAGGCCAACGTGTGCCTCTGCACACTTCAAAAGGAAACATGCTGCATTGTGCACGCACTCACAAAAAGAGATCAAAACCGAATCCAGTCTGCTCCTCGGCTTGCTCATTTTCTCAGTCACCCGGGCACCATTTAGTCTCCTTTGCTGCCTATACCCATTGCTGAGCCTGAAGACTACACTTTGTAATTAGTGGTTTGAGAGGGGGGAAGTTTCTAAAATAAAAAAGACACAAGCTATTCTTGTTGTTTTATTGAGAATGCCTCCTACTCCACGTATAATTTCTGAACTAGCCATCCATTTTTTATAACCATCTACCCTGCAATTTCTGTACAGCAAGAAGATAGGAGAGAGAAAGAGAATTAGATTTAACCATTAGAACTGTCATGGATCAAGATTTTGCCAGACAACAGGAAGCGTTGTGGGGTGCCTTTATCTCATTTCTTAATGCAAAATAAAGGCAAGTGGGGGAGCTACCGGAGCCCACAGCAAACGGGATCTTTGTGGCAGGGTCAGGACCTGTTATTGCTAGTGCAAACACTTACGCACACAAGTGGTCCTACTGATTTCAAGAGGATTAGTCGTGCACCCGCAGTCTGCTGGACCAAAGCCTGCACGCGATTAGACCGAGGTGACCCTCCTGCCAACCAGCTCTCCGCAGGAGGGGCGGCAGAGGGGACTTCAAATGTGTTGAAAGGAACCGAGCTGTAAAACGGCCTCTTCCTGACCGCTGGAGGTTATGACTGTACGCGATCCTCAAGACGCACGCATGGATGCTCCTCTTTGCTTCCGTCAGCTGTCCCATTGAAACAAGTGAAGTTACACGCGCACGCACAGGCGGACAGAACCAGGGGCTAATCCTGGTTTTCTTCTCCCTCCCAAGCGAGAAATGCTTCTTAAAAAAGAAAAAAAAAAAATCTCTGCAATCTGGCCCCTTAGCAGTTCCACTTCAGGCCGCTCCCGCAAAGCGCCAAAGCCAGAGGTCACACCCCAAAAACTCCCTATCAAGAATTTAAGTGGTCAAACCCGACACCTGCCTCCAGAACATCCTTCGTGCCCCGAAACCACGGTACGGCCCATCTCTCCTCGCGCCCCGAAACCACGGTACAGCCCATCTCTCGCATCCTGGCGTGACGCACAAGAAAGGGGTTTCTTTCCACTGCCCATCAGAAAAAATGAAAGGGATTTAAAACCACCGCCCGCCGCCTGTCCCTGTGGGTTCAGAGCCCTAAGCTACCGGGCCACAGTTACTCAGGGCAGGTTGCGCGGAGGGGGCTCAAGAACTCAGCAGGGTTCATTGGGGGGGCTTTAATGTGCTTAGCCTGGCTTTCTCGGGAGGACGCAAGCGGCTCGCAGGAGAGGGACGGGGTCAACCTTGGCTTGTAAAGAGATGCCGAGGGAGGCGGGCGAGGAGAGTCACAAGCGCAGCAGCCGCTTGGGCGAAAGCAACCACAGCAGCAGGGAGGAGCGGGCGGATGACAACCGGAACACCCCCGGGAGCCCCCTGTTTTGTCTCCGCTTGTCCCAAGCCACCTCCGCCACCGAGGGGCCCCTGGGGGCAGAGTGGCGGGGCTCCTGCCGCTCTCCCGGGCCCTCCCCACGGACAAGGAGGGCTGGGGGAGCTCGGGAGGTGCCCCCCCCGCTCCAGGCCGCTCCGTCGCCCCGGCCCAGGCTTTGTCCGGCGGGCGCTCGGCC